ATGTACTTATTGTGTAAATACATGTATTAACTGTGTACTTATGCTTGATTAAATACCTGAATGTAATCACATCTGTAATTAACTTTTGTAAATACATTTGTAAATACACTGTTGACCATACCTTACACCTTAACCCACCCTTAAACCTACCCATACCACCAAACCTGTCCATAACCCAACCCCTATCCCAACTCAAAAGCACCACAAGTGTTCTCAAATACATTATAAACACAGTAAGTACAATGTATTTATTTTTTGATGCAAGTACATAGTACTTAAGGACACTTAATATAAAGTGAGACCGAAAAAATCTTTCTCTCTGTTAAACAGCACTTGGGAAATATCTGAATGCGCATTTCACTGGATGGCTAATAAATCTGCATTCAACACTATATAAAGCACTAAAATATAATAGAAATTTTACCTTGTTTTTTTTTTGGCTGTTGTTGTTATTGTTTTATTCTAGTTACGCTCACATTTGTAAGTATAATCTGCAGAAAATGACTTTAAAAAATAAGTTCTTCTCCAGCAATCACGATCACGAGTCGTGTCCAAACAAACATGATAATTCCACGGCACTTGTTTGAATGCAGATGAGTTTGTTTGTTATCTGCACTATAATATTTCCACACACACACACAGAGAGACGCTGGGTTCTCATTGCTATGCATCACAGCGCACCGAATCCTTGTACATTCATTACATTCAAAATTGCTGAAGTTACCATTCAATTAAGTCTTTAATGATGGGGGATTGTATAGGCGGCGCGTGTCGTCCTCTATAAAGCGGAGACTAGTTTGGATGCTGGCGAGATTGAAGAGCAGAGCTGTAATTTCACCGTCCAGCCACTCGTTTACATTTTAATGGACTGAGGCTTGCAGGAATTCGGGTTTTGCCTCTTTGATTTAAGCAGGAAGCAGTTGAATAAATATACAGTTCCTTGACAAGCAAGAAAATAGGAAGTGGGAATGGAAAAACAAAAAAAAAGCAGGGCGAATTAGACATTTGGTATTGATTGCAAGCTTATGCCAGACATGCAGAGGCCTAGTTGAAAGTGGGAGTGTAAGAAAACTTGAGAATGCTTAATACACTCCATATATATATATATATAAAATATGTAAATATATATATATATATATATATATATATATATATATATATATATATATATATATATATAGCTTCATTGTTTTATGTTGAATCCACTTAAGTTTGTAAAAATCCATTAAGTTACCTTAATCGATTTGTGTCGGGACAACACAATTTTGACAACAACACAAACATTTTTACAGTGTATATTGGCTGAATTTAAGCAAACAAATTAAATTTAGTACTGTTCAACTTGATTTGTTTGTTTAAAGGTGCAGTAGCTGATTGTCTTCAGAACATGTGTTGTTGTGCTGGTTAAAAGTCTCTTCACATGCCAATAGTCATGATTAAAGTAAATGATCTACATATATTTATATGTATTTTTATATTCTGGATAAGGCATAAAACTAAAAAAATGTTGATCCAATCAAATATTGTTGGTCTCAATTATGACAGGTATCTCAAACTGCCTGTCAATAATTTAGATTAGAATTTCTCTCTGCCTCTTTAAGCACACAGATACGTCACTTGCGCGCACACGTGAAGCACGATTCTACTGCTGACAAAAAGATGTCATCCGCAAACTCTGCATCAACCTGAACTTCGTTCTTTGCCATTCCAGATGACTTTATTAATACGTGATTTGAGTCATGTCAGAGATGTATGGATGTAGTCCTCCAAGCTCATGATGGAGTCAGACACAATATTCATTCTGTTTCCACTACACCATGACTTTATATTCTATACTGGACATTATTTCTGTTCAGTGATAAGGCTTTTGTCCAAGCAGAGTCAGACCTTACTGTCCTAATTAAATCAATAAAAGTCAAGTCATGATCATGTTTTATTTTGGTAAAATAAACCTAATCTAGAGGCCTTTGCCTTTCAAACAAGCCACTTCAGATACCAAATGATCAACTAGAAGTCAAGTTTGTTGTTCCTAAAGCTTGGATAGGACAAGGACATTTGTCTAGTAGTTTAGGTGTTTTAAACATGCAGCAAAAATCTTTTTTTTTTTCTTTGAGTGTAACCCAACTCCGTGTTCTCAGAAGATTACGCGGCTTATCTGAACTCTGTTTTTTATCAACTTTTAAATGCAGGTTTTACAGCAAAAACTCTATGTTTGCTCAATGATGTGTTTAAGTTTCCTGCTCTACACGTATTGGTGATAAAACCCTGACAAGACGGCAGAAAAGAGAGATTTAGTCATCACAGGATTTCACCAAACACATATTTTGTTCATCCTTTCAATGCCGGATGTTCCCATTGGGGCTCACGGCTAAAATATTTAAACAGATCTCCAGGGGTTGGGAGTTTCTGCACCATCCAGCATTATTGGAGTTATAAATACTAGATAAGATGCTGAATAACCAAATGCTTCCAATAAACAGAGAGCGGCTGCTCTGCAAAATGCTGGAAAAACATCAAGAACTTACACTGGCTGAGCATTTACAGCTGGTGTAAAATTTAAAATGACCTTTGATTTTGGTCTGCTATGCCATTCTAATTATTTTTTATCAAATGATATTTTATTGTGTAGTTTTTGCTTGATTTGTTTTTTTTTTTTTTTTTAATGAACTTTTTTACTTACTATAAATGGATAAAATGCAGCAATCAATGCTTTCAGACTTTAGGTCCATGCCACAGCATTATTCATATAATTTTTAGCACTGAATGTGAAATAAAATAACATTTTGTTGTAGAGAAAACACTTTGAGTGAATAATAGCTAAATTAATTTAGCTTTCTTTAAGAAATGCCGCATCTTTGTTTTGTACATGCTTTAATTTTAGCATTAAATCTGTCTTGTTTAGGTTATTAAACTGTTAATGTAATAATAATAATAAAGAAAATTAATTATTCTATTATTTTATCACCATTTTTATCACATTATTATATTTATAAATAACACATATATTTAGTAAGGAACTCAATGCAGCCTAACGTAGTCGTCTGCAGTCACATTGACACCTGTCTATTGGCAATAAGAATCCCCCGTAACCCGGACCAATTATAGAGTCACACCAATATTTGTGGGTCATTTGCATCACCTTAAACACCAAACATTACATATGACAGCAGATGACAGTAATCTGATTATTATTACTATTATTTATTACTGATTTATTTATTTTCTTATTTATTTTTTATTTGTTTATATTTTTCCATCTTATTTTGTGTTTAAACATGTTTTTATTTTTTCAACACAAAATAAGATAAAAAAATAAACAAAATAATAATAAATAATATAATTAACTTCTTGTGGAAAACCTGATGCGGCCCAGCCTCACTCTGGCTCTGCCTCCAGCGGCCCCCAGGTAAACTAAGTTTGAGACCCCTGATGTACTCTAGGTAAACAATGTATGTGCACCTATACAGCATGCACAACATATATGTTTTAAATGGTATAAAACGTGTCTGCAAAACTTGGAATTAAAACTTTTTTGTGCATTAATCAAGCATTTAATAATAATGTCTAAATGACTCCGAGACACTGAAGTAATGACAAAAGCTTTAAATACAAGAATAAATAATATTTTAAACATAAAAAAACAATTACTTTAAATCAAAATATTATTTTAAGACCTTATAAATAAATAAAAAAAAATATATATATATATATTAGGGCTGTCAAAATTAGCGCGTTAACGCACGTGGTTAATTTGAAATATTTAACGCAAATAACGCAGTTGCAGTTTTTTTATTTCCTGTTGTGGCCGATGTGTGTTCAGGGCCAGCGCGTCCATAGAGGCAACCTAGGCGGCTGCAAACCCCCAGGTCCTCACATTCATCTGCTACATCCAACCCCTCCCTCACGGTCCTCCGCCTTTCATATGAATAAAACAGCGTGATTGCCATTTGCCTAGAGCGCCACTTCAGCTTGCTCTGGCCCTGCGTGTGTTAAACGTGCAAAGAAATATGCCGTTTCCTCCAGAGTTTCATGCAATTTCGGGTGTTTCATTTCTAATATTTAGACTTTAACTGCAGTTCAGCAGTTCACTCTCATTCAGTATTTTCATTCAGAATGTTTTAATGGAATTTGATACCGCATGGCGGACAGAAAGAAAAACCTCTGCATTTCGGGACTCGCGTGGTCATTTAAGATAATCAAAAATCGCTGTTTACATGGTCGACTCTAGATCAGTATTATCTTAATCATCAAAGCTGAGTATTGGTGTCCATGTGAATGAAAGTGCCAGATGAATTCGCAAGCTGTCAAAGACAATTCTCTGCCCTTAAGCTGCGTCCCTCAAATGTTTCATTAAGTTTGACGTGTTTCCCCCCTTTTTTAAGCATCTACTTCACGTTCCTCTGTCAGAATCATTGCTTAGTGGAATGCTTAGATTGCTTAGTTTAAGCAAATTTGATGAACGCGATCGTGCGCGTGTTGATGAATCTGAAGGAATCCCTCTCGCTCACCGGCACTGCGCATTGTCTCTTTCTGTGTGCGTGTGTGTGTGTAGTTCACTTAGGATCCAACATGGAAAGCATTTTTGTTTGTTATTGTCATGGATTGTTTTGAAATTTAAATGGCACTTACATGCCTGTGTTTTTACTTTAGTATTAAATACAGAATTTCGTGATTAATCATGATAAATTACAAAAAAAGTGTGTTTAATCACATAAATTTTTTTAATCATTTGACAGCCCTAATATATATATATATATATATATATATATATATATACATTGCCCAAATAGCCTTAGTTAACTCTTTCCAAACTTTGGATCTGTACGATCAAAACTGAAAGTGTAATTTAAGTTCTTGAAGCCTCAAACCACCTATACACAGTTGCTGACCCCTGAGGGTAAACTGTCTAGCCAGCTAATCCAGCTTCATGGTACTAGCAGTTTGTCTGTAGTATATTCACATTTAGATGACTAATCCACTTCACACCCTCTCTCCTGCAGTGATGGAAGTCTGGCCACCAAACAGATTGTTTTCCTCCAGAGACCAGTGTTGCCTCGCAAGAAGAAAGAATCCAAGGTGCGTGACCCTTAATCCCAGCCACACCACTACTAACACAATGCTGTCACACACTCAGTTAATATTATATTCCTCACACACGTTTACATTCACTGTGGCCCGGTTGAAACATCTACATAGTTTGTGTTAGCAGCCAGAGTCACACACCAAGTGTTTTCACAGGGTTCAATGTCGGCGTCAGGCATTTCCTTAAACGCCACATAAAATAGGATTGAAAAAAGCACGCCCGAGCAGAACAATGCATAATTTAAACAAAGATTTAGCTCCATGTCACTTCAAAGCGAACCGCCGCGAGTGTGTGCTTAGTGGGTGTTACTGCGTGTTTGGCTTTCCCGATGATATTTACTTACATGGTGTTGTCTTCTTACATTTTTTCGGGAAAAAGGACTAACGCAAATGAGCTGTGCCAATCTTTAATCAACCTATAACATTTGCCGATTGTGCACTGTACCTGACAAAAGTCTTGTTTTCAATCCCAGTTGCAGGAGCAACAAATAATAACTTGGAAAAGTGGCGAGGGTAGATTTTTCTGATGAATCATCTGTTGAACTGTTGAACAAATACTGCAGAAGACCTATTGAAACTCACGTGGACCCAAGATTCTCACTGAAATCAGTCAAGTTTGGTGAAGGAGAATTATGGTTTGGGCTTACATTCAGTATGGGGTCTTGCGAGAGATTTGCAGAGTGGATGGCAACATCAACAGCCTGAGGTATCAAGACATTTGTGCCGCCCATTTCATTACAAACCACAGGAAAAGGGCAAATTCTTCAGCAGGATAGCGCTCCTTCTCATACTTTAGCCTCCACATCAAAGCTCCTGAAAGCAAAGAAGGTCAAAGTGCTCTAGGATTGGCCAGCCCAGTCACCAGACATGAACATTATTGAGCATGTCTGGAGTAATATGAAGGAAGAGTCCTCTGGGAGTCCTGCAAGAAAGGTTTCTTCGCCATTCCAGATTGCAGAAAGCCTTTGCCTTTCATGTAAGCCACTTCTGATCCCAAATCATCAACTAGAAGTCAAGTTATTATTTGTTGTTCCTAAAATGTGGATAGTGTACAGTATGTACGGTAGTTAATGCCAAATTCAGATTGCATGATTTTCAAAGTAGTGGTGTCACAGATGTTTTCACACTGCATGACTATCAGGGCTAGCGTTTCATCGCTGCTTTGTTTACACTGCAAGATGGATCGGCGACAGGAGCTTTCACATTGCATGACTTTACAATTGGAAGAATCGCCAACAACTTCGTCTAAACTATGTCTCACAACCAAAAACACGTAGTATATCTTTAGTTATTAACTACATAATGAGACAGAAGCCTTTAATGGGGTAGAAAATGTACATATTCACTCACCTCGGTTTGAAGGGAATTAGCAATTTCTCCTCATCTTTCTTTTTTAACTTTCTGTATGAAACGTCAAACAGACACGGGTGCTCCTGTCAAACCTCCACTAGTTTTTCCTCCATTTCTTGGGTCTAAATAAACTGGAAATGAGCGTTTTTAACTTCTCTCCCAGCCTCCCACTGGCCTCCAGATACCCACACACACACACAAGTGAATGCTGCTCTCTCATTGGCTGTAGGCGATCGCTGATGTTATTTTCAGTCAAAACTAATGCACACGTCATGATTTGAATCGCCGACAGCTCCAGATATTCAGCAGGCCAAATATCTATCAGGCATCGGCGACTCATCTGCGATTCTCTCAGATCGCGTCTTTGATAGTTCATACTGTGTGATTGTCACTCACGTGCACGAGCACTGATTTGTCTGTGAATTCAGGCATTTGTCGGCGATTTTTCAAAACCTGACGGCGAGTCAAAATCAGGGCTAAAATCAAGCAGTCGACATAAAAGAGAGCTTAAGAAAAAACATACAAATAGAAAAATACACAGGCAAATTAAATAAACTCGTGCAAATCCCCACAACAAATGCTCGTTTTGATCTAAAACAACAACAACAACAACAAAAAAACAAGTTGAGTAAAGTTAGCATGTGTATTTGTATTATGCCGTCTTCTCCATCGTTAGCCTACATAAAGGGCCTAAATTTTATTTGATTTTTTTTGCAATTTGTTTTGTGAAATATTTTGTTTTGCAATTATTGAAGCATTGCAAATTTATTATTAATAACCATTAAAAAATATTTAGTGTATATGTTAATAAGTTAATTTAGCTATCCTATATAATAATGATTCACAGTTAATCGTCAGTTTATTTAGGCTAATAATATTGGCATTTTAGTTGGCATTTCTGGAGTTTGCATGTATCCTTTGTGTTGGCGTGGGTTTTCTCCGGGTGCTCCGGTTTCCCCCACAGCCCAAAGACATGCGCTTTAGGTGAATTGAATAAACTAAAATGGCCATTGTGTATGTGTGTGAATGAATGTGTATGGGTGTTTCCCAGTACTGGGTTGCGGCTGGAAGTGCATCCGATGCCTAAAACATATGCTGGAATAGCTGGTGGATTAAACTGCTGTGCCGACCTCAGATAAATCAGAGATTAAGCCGAAGAACAGTGAATGAATGATTATGCTAAAGACAATAGAATGGTGTAATTGGGGTGTTCAAATAAACAGGACACCTACAACTTTGTTGATCAATATTCACTGCACAATAAGCAAATCCCAGCCTTGTCTGTCACTTTTTTTTAGTTCATCCCCTTAAAACATCTCCATAGTGGGCTATTTGTATGGTTTGTGAGGATTTGCAGTACATTTTCTATTTGCTTTAGAGTTGTGGGGATTTCTAACATGTGTGCGGTCAATCTGCACTGTGGAAAATGTTGGGTTCCACACAATTCCTTCATGGTGTCCCAACACAAATCGATGAAGTTTACTTAATTATTTTTACGAATTTAAGGATTAAACATAAAACAATTCAGTTGTCCCAAAAGGATTGTCAAGAATTGTGTTGACTCGGCTCATTTTATAAAAGTACACTGTAAAAGAAATCTGTTAATAAACAGTTTCCGTATTTTTGGTGGTTCACAAGTGTTTTCTGTTTATTTACGGTTGTGAATTGCATTGTAGTATGTTGATCCAGCCTGATCTCTAGAGAAAACGTATTTTACGTTTTGGCAGTTTAGTGGCTAATTTGTACGAATTTGTACGAGTTCAGTCGTAAGAAATTGTACGATTTTAAAAAGGAGGCGTGGCACCTAACCCCACCCCTAAACCCAACCGTCATTGGGGGATGAGCAAATCATACTAAAATGTACGAATTAGATTGTACGAATTCATACGAATTAGCCACTAAATGAAAAAGTTACGAATTGCCGTGAGATTGTGTCGGTTGATCTCTGCTCTGTAGACTTTTGATGTTGAAACTGAACTCTACAGTTTAACAATGGGACTTTTATTGACACTTTAGTCAATTGAAATAATATATATAGAAAATAAAAGTCTGTAAAAAGAATATACAAGTATGTAAACATCTTACTAGCAGTATATTACTAGGTTTTTATATGGTAATATACAAAACCAACCCAGACAAAGTATCGCTTTATACAACAGTTCTGTCTGGTTCTCAAATCTGATTGGCTGATAGCCGTGCGATATTCTGCAATAACAGCACTGGTACAGCCTCATCACCCTTGTGTATTACTCCGCCCACATAAAGCAACAGCAGATCAATAAACTCACTACAGTTTGACAAAACTTGCTGCTTGAAAACTCCACTTTTGAGGATTTTTCAGGCAAGAATGTAGTTATTTACATTGCAACTATGCAGTTTATTTATAGTGACAATGCCTCGCTGGTGTCGGCGGAGTAGAGCAGAGCAAAGAGGGTTGACGTTTCACCACAAGATGGCGACAGAAACCGGATAATACATCCTTAGAGGAGAAAAAACTCAGCATCAATTTTAAACTACAGCTGATCAAATCATTATAAAACTGGTAAATGACATTCTAAGTCGATCTCTGTCTTTTGTATGTTGTAGTGCTGTATTTATACCATAGTAATCTGGTAGTGTTTGCTTTGCTTTGGTTTTTTTCGGGGTTAAATATTGTGATCTCCAGATTGCAACAGAGAAATACTGGGAAATCTCTGTAGACTGATGGCATTTCATGCCGTTCAGCCTTATAATCTTAATCGTACGTTCACACCGAAAGCGGCGAGAGCGTCAAAGTAGCCGGAAGTCATTCATTTTCAATGAGAGGCGGTGGCGATAAGCAGCGAGGAGCAGCGCGGCGCGTCTTCTCCGGTGTGGGCGTCGAGGAGAGTTGAAATCAAGTCAACTTTATGGTAATGAGCTATGACGCGGTTCGGCGGCAAGCAATCAGAATGAAGACATTCACCGCTTGATAGGAGTTCAGAGAACACAGACCTGGGAACTTTGGTTCCGATCACAGTTGTTCCCAAGGGTTTGATGACTGCGGTCGCCGAATTTCCAATTATTTACAATGTTTTCTTACAGGAACATGCATTAAATAACTTACTGGCGAGTTACTAATGTTCATTAATGTTATATAAATTTATCTTTAAAAAGCGGGAATCTCATGCGACGTGACAGTACAAAACAGTATAGCTGCTTCAGGATATTTCAGACATATGGACACATATTGGATAAAAAGAGCAAAGCCACACCACATGCAACTTAATCTTCCATTGTTATATGAATTTGATAGGACGTGCGCAACACTTTCATGCTGGAAACATGTTTTATGCAGGAATGCAACTGATATGCTGCAACGGCTCCTTTAAATACGAGATTAAAGTAGCGAGTTTTGACGCTCTCGCCACCGGAGCTGAAGGCAGACAGCATTGTCGCCAGGGCGGCCAGAGCGACCTTGGACGCTCTCGCCACTTTTGGTGTGAACGTACGGTCAGAGAATCATTCAAACGCTAGCTCTAAAGTGACGTTGCTGAATTAGTAACAGTTTCTGCTGTTCTGACGGTCAGCTGCAGATGTGAATGAATGGCGGAAGAAAGAAGTTCCTTATACAAAAGGATTTTGAGACTCTTCGTATTTTATTTTTCTCTTTTATATACATGATTATGCTGTCAAACAGTTATATAAACGCAGTAACACACTTCTAGCAGTGTGATATTGTTGTATATCAACACTGGTGGGACACTAAGGCACTCAGCTGATATATAGTCAAATTGCACTGTTACGAGTGACTTTCATTTTCTTGTCGGCTTAGTCCCTGTATTAATCCGGGGTCGCCACAGCAGAATAAACCGCCAACTTATCCAGCAAGTTTTTACGCAGCGGATGCCCTTCCAGCCGCAACCCATCTCTGGGAAACATCCACACACACTCATTCACACACACACTCATACACTACGGACAATTTAGCCTACCCAATTCACCTGTACCACATGTCTTTGGACTGTGGGGGAAACCTGAGCACCCGGAAGAAACCCACGCAAAGGCAGGGAGAACATGCAAACTTCACACAGAAACGTCAACTGAGCCGAGGTTCGAACCAGCGACCCAGCGACCTTCTTGCTGTGAGGCGACAGCACTACCTACTGCGTCACTGTAGGTCTTGCCCCTGTTACGAGTGTGATATTGCCAATTTAAACTATTAAAAATGTTAATAAAGTCTCTTTATTTGTACTTTTCAATGTTAAAAGTTGTTAGGATAAAAGATCAAAATGCCATAATGTAATTCAAAAGCATAGATAAATGAGGAAAATAATATAAATCACAAAATAGGGAAAACTGCTAAAATATGGATATTTTTACAGTGCTGTTTGAACAAGCCGCACAAATATGTTTTTTGTTGCTAGTGTGGTTTTTTTCTATTTGCAAGTGTTTTCTTAAGTTGCAGTGCGTTGAGCTCTCTGGGCCACCGTATATACATAATTCAATGCTTTGTGAATTCATATTCACAACCATAACAAACTGAAGAGAGAATCTAAATGAACTTTTTACAAAACAAAAACGTCACGTGGCACGCAAGGCCTCCTGTCTCACACATCACGCGTCTGCATCTCAATGAGGACACAACGCCTTTGTGTAAACCCTTTTTTATGCAGGAATCATCTTGCATATTCATAAGACAGAAACAATCGTTTTTTTAGACGCATTTACACGACTTGAAAGAAACAGGGTTGGAAGCTGAAGGGTTCACTGATTGATAGCAGAGCGAGAGATGCGAACTTCGAAACGTTAGTTTATGCAAATGAAAGGCAGAGACATGTCAGGAAGCAGCCAATCACAGTCATGGTGAGGTCCGATATTTCTACTGCTTAAATTTAAGTGCAAAAATGTGATGGGTTTGTTTTGGTTGTTTTGTAAGAGTAAAAACTGCTTGTTGGTTGAACAGCTAAGGGAGTTTTAAACATTAGCTCACCTGAAAAAAATGAGAATTCTGTTAATTACACAGTTTCAGTCTCCTGAGATCTTTCATTCATCTTCTGAACACAATTGAACATATTTTAGATTATATCCAAGAGCTCTCTGACTCTCCATATACAGCAATGACCCTGATATGTTGATATGATACGTTTTAAATAGGAACTAAAAACATTGGCAAAACTTTTTATGTGACTTCAGTGATTCAGCTAAAATCATACAAAACTCCAAGAACAATTTTTATGATGCATGTGATAGAAAAATAAAAGTAGATGGATGAATGGATGGACGGATAAAAGGATGGAGAGATGGATGGACGGATGTGATAGAAAACTAAAGTAGATATGGATTGATGGATGGACGGACGGAGGGATAGACGGACAAATGAAATAGAAAAATAAAAGTAGATACGGAGGGATGGACGGATGGATGGATGGATGGATAGATGGATGGATGGATGGATGGATAGATGGATGGGTGGATAGATAGACGGATAGACGGATGAATGGACGGAATAGAAAAACAAAAATAGAAGTAGATATGGAGTAGTAGGTAGTGCTGTTGCCTCACAGCGAGACGGTCGCTGGTTCAAGCCTTGGCGTTTCTTTGTGGAGTTAACATGTTCTCCCTGCATTCGCGTGTGTTTCCTCCGGATGCTCCGGTTTCCCCACAAAGACATGTGGTACAGGTGAATTGGGTAAGCCTGTCTGTAGTTTATGAGTGTGAATGAGTATGTGTGGAGGTTTCCCAGAGATGGGTTGCGGTTGGAAGGGCATCTGCTGCGTAAAAACGTGCTGGGTAAGTTGGCGGTTCATTCTGCTGTGGCGACCCCGGTTTAATATAGTGGCTAAGCTGAAAAGAAAATGAATGAATGATATTGGAATGATGGATAGAAGCAATAGAACACAAAAGTAGGGATGGACGGATGGATGTGATATAAAAAAGTAGATATGGATGGACGGATGGATGTGATATAAAAAAAGTAGATATGGATGGATGGATGGATGGATGGATGGATGGATAAAATAGAAAAAAAATAAAAGTAGGAATAGGTGGATGGACAGATGGATGGATTAATGGGAATAATAGAAAAATAAAAGTAGATATGGATGGATGGACGGACAGACAGACAGATGGACGGATTGACGAATGGAATAGAAAAATAAAAGTAGATATGCATGGGTAGATGGATGGATCAATGGATAAATGGATGGATGGATGTATGGATTGTTGCGATAGAAAAATAAAAGTAGAGATGGATGGATGGATAGATGGATGGATGGATGGATGGATGGAATAAAAAAATAAAGATATGGATAGACGGATTAGATATGGATGGACGGAATAAGAAAAAGTAGATATGGATGGATGGATGGATGGATGGATGGAATAAAAAAATAAAGATATGGATAGACAGATTAGATATGGATGGACAGAATAAGAAAAAGTAGATATGGATGGATGGATGGATGGATGGATGGATGGATGGATGGAATAAAAAAATAAATATATGGATAGACGGATTAGATATGGATGGACGGAATAAGAAAAAGTAGATATGGATGGATGGATGGATGGGTGGATGGATGCGACAGAAAAATAAAATTAGATATGGATGGATGGATGGATGGATGGATAGAATAGAATAGAATAGAATAGAATAGAATAGAATAGAATAGAATAGAATAGAATAGAAAAATAAGAGTAGATGTGGATGGATGCATGGATGAATGGAATAGAAAAACAAAAAGTAGATGTGAATGGATTGGAAAAATAGAATAATAGAAGTAGATATGGATGGAATGATGGATAGAAGCAATAGAACACAAAAGTAGGGATGAATGGAGGGATAATTGGATGGATGGATGGATGGATGGATGGATGGATGGATGGATGGATGGATGGATGGATGGATGGATGGACGGACGGATGGATGGATGGATGGATGGGAACAATAGAAAAACAAAAGTAGATATGGATGGATGGATTTTTCAAATAAATAAATGTTCAAACACACATTTTGAATTCTGCCAAAAATAGAAGTGTGCACATTTTTGATTTATCATGAACACTCTGTTTTAGGAATCCCTTTTTAAAGAGCGATTTATGAATTATTAATCCATACTTTAAGGCTACGTCTTTATCTCTCACAAGACTGTGGTCTGCATTTCTGTTTTGTTTCAGAAAGTCATCTTTAAAGCAAGAAACAAGTCCAACAAGAACTCGGTCAAAGACGCACCAAAGAACAAGAAGAAGAAAGACTCTACGCCCACCGTGGAGAAAGAGATAAGTGATCAAAAGGCCGAGAGGAGCGTTGAGGACACCAACACAAGTGTGAATGAGCGACGGCCGGAAAAACAGAATAATGAAGCTGACGCTCAAGTGCAGAGCCAACAGAAACAGGACACAGAGGAAGGGAAGTGGGCGGAGGAAGTGACGGCTGCAGGAAGTGAGGTAGGAGGAGAAAAACAAGACGAAGTGAGTGGAAACAGTGAGAAAGATGAAGGTGCTAAAGATGAGGTAGACGGTAAAGCGGAAGAGCAAAGTGTGAAAATAGAAGCTGAAACAGGGTCATGTAAAGACCAGAAAGGTGATGATGAGGGGGACAAACCGGATGAGCCGTCAGCCAATCAGGATTGAGGATGCGCTTAAACCAACAAGACCAATGGAAGATGGAGCTTTATGAATGTTTAAAATGCTACCCTGCAAAAAGAAAACAACAACAACAACAAAAAACACACACACTTTGCTAATCAAAGTTTTGTCTTGTTATTAAGTATCTAAACATCACTAGGGGCCATTCACACAAGTTTTTTTTTTTATTCCAACATGCTAAATCTTTCTATGTGATAAATAAATATAGTGTTACGTCAGCCAATTCGAATGTTATCACTCGATTGAATGTTCGTTATCAGTGGTTATCAGCTCATAGAAAAGGGCCAGTAGGGGCCTTCTGCACCTATTGGTAGGCTTAAAAGGCAGTAATCAACCATTTACATTTCGGCAAGAATAAAAGCAGTTTTACATTTTTTAAAACCATTTAAGGGTCAATATTATTAGCCCCCTTAAGCAATACTTATTCAATCGTCTACAGAAAAAAAACACTGTTATAAAATGACTTGCATAATTACCCTAACCTGCGTAATTAACTTAGTTGAGCCTTTAAATGTCACTTTAAGGTGTATAGAAGTGTCTTAAAAAATATTTAGTCAAATATTATTTACTGGCATCATGACAAAGATAAAATAAATCAGTTATTAGAGTTATTAAAACTATTATGTTTAGAAATGTGATGAAAAAATCTTTCCATTAAACAGAAAATGTGGAAATAATTGTGGACCAATCAGAAGGTCTCAGAGGTGGGGCAAGCAATGCAAGTTTCTGTTTACAGTAGCAAGTTGACATGACATCGGGGGTGGAGTGTTTAACATTTTTTAAGAACATTCCTAAATGTTGCATCTCACATTTTTAAAGATGTCTGAATGGCCCCTTAAAGGAATAGTTCACACAAAAATGAAAACTTACCTTTTCTTGAGATTCAAAACCGTTACAGGTTTGCATCTTATGTTGTATACAAAAGAAGATATTTTGAAGAATGTTGGAAACCAGTAGACACTGACAGCCATAATAGGAAATATACTATATATATGGTCTATACTAATAGGAAATATACTAATACTATGGTCTAGAGCTGCACAATATTGGAAAAAACGTATATTGCGATATCTTTCATTCTGCAAATGACTTGAATTACTTGATTTGGAAATAATTGATACTTTTATATTCTTTGGGATGATTTTGTAGAGTGCATTTGAAGAAAATATAATTAACAAATTAACAGCATAGATATATAAAGTAGAGCAACAAACATTTTTCAGGTACAGAAATAATCAAATTTACAATAGTGATGGGAAGTTCGGATCATTTCATCGAGATGAACAAATCTTTTTTCAAGTCATTTTGTTCATTTGGTTCAATTTGCCAAAATATTATTAAAGTGTTACGAATTGCTTTCAAACGCATCTACAACTAGCCCAAAAGGTTGATCACATGACAAATAAGTCATAAATACAATACTATAAGAAGGAGAAAATAATAATTCAATGTTTACCTGCTCTTTTGTCTATGAAGGTATTGTTGTCTCTTTGCTCAGCTCACCTCTTCATATCTTTAAATGTCAGTGATTCGTTCACGTTACTCTGACAGACACATATAATCTTAACCATAGTACACAGTCTGAGTTTATAGGAGCCATGATAATTAGTTCACCTTTCAATTCAATTCTTTTTCCGGCTCTAAACGCATATGATTGGCCTGTGAGGAACGAATGACTCAAACCCGATAGAGGACTCGAGAGATGAGAGGGATCAATTGTTTTTCCGGCTCTAAACGCATATGATTGGCCCGTGAGGAATGAATGACTCAAACCCGATAGAGGACTCGAGAGATGAACGGATCAATTCTTTTTCCGGCTCTAAACGCAAATGATTGGCTTCTGCCTTTCTGCGATGAACGACTCAAAAGACTTGAAATGAACGATATCACCTGCACAAATGTGCGCACACGCGGATGGACGAATCAGTCTCTGAGAGGACTCATAGTTCCCGAGTCATATTAAAGATTTGTTCAAAATGAACGAATCGTTCATGAACAACCCATCACTAATTTACAATAAAATTAAACAGTCTTCATTGCATAAAGAATTAAATAAAATTAATGTTTGTTAAAGCTACATAATGCAATACAACCCCAAATCAGTAAAAGCTGGTACTGTTGCTCACATTATGACTTGTTTGCTGGAAGAACGGGACAAAATTACACCTGAAACACTTCATCATTGGTGTCTTCAGTCCCTGAACGTCTTTTAAGTGTTGTAAATAGTAATGGCAACATGACAAAATGGTAAATGCTTCACTGTTCCAGCTTTTCTTGAAATGTGATGCAAGAACCAAAATTGTAATACGAGTATATTTTGGGGAAAAAAAAGAAAAAGAAAAAACCAACAACTATAAAAATCACGAGAAACACGTTAAATAATGTTTATTGTCTTGTCTGCAATGAAATACAAGTCAAAGTAAATTTAAAAATCACTACTTTCTTTTGTTTTATTTGTATTTTCCATACAGTCTCAACTATTTCTGATTTGGGGTTGTAATTCCAAATGCTTTAAAATGCTTGCTGATAACCTGCAAATGATACACCTTCAATTTATTATGGTTGCTATAATCCAGACTCCACATTGCAGATTCTCGTGCATTATCGATGCTTATACTATATACACTACCTGACAAAAGTCTTGTCGCCTATCCAAGTTTTAGGAACATCAAATAATAACTTGACTTCTAGTTGATCATTTGGTTTCAGAAGTGGCTTATATAAAAGGCAAAGGCCTCTAGATTACGCTTATTTACCAAAATAAAACATGATCATGCCTTGATTTTGAATTATTCATTTAGGACAGTAAGGTCTGACTTTGCTCAGACAAAAGTCTTGTCACTGAACAGAAATAATGTCCAGTAAAGCATAAAGTCATGCTGCAGTGGAAACAGAATGAATATTGTGACTGACTCCATCATGAGCTTGGAGGTCTGCATCCATACATCTCTGCAATGACTCAAATCACTTTTTAATAAAGTCATCTGGAATGCCAAAGAAAGTGTTCTTGCAGGACTCCCAGAGTTCAAGACTCTTTAGATTCATTTTCAACGCCTCCTCCTTGTTCACAGACGTGCTCAACAATTTTCATGTCTGGTGATTAGGCTGGCCAATCCTGGAGCACCTGGACCCCAACCCATGATTTTTCCTTCACCAACCTTGACTGATTTCTGTGAGAATCTTGGGTCCATGCAGGTCTCAATAGGTCTTCTGCAGTATTTGTGATGATTGGGATGCAGCTCAACAGATGATTCATCAGAATAATCTGCCACTTTTCCAAGTGATCAACTTTTCCAAGTGATCAAGTTATTATTTGCTGCTCTTACAACTTGGATCGACAACAAAACTTTTGTCATGTAGTGTATTGTGCAGCTCTACTATGGTCACTAGCTACCAGTTAAAATTATTTCTCAAAACATGGTCTTTTGTATTAAATAAAGAAACTCAAGTGGAGTAATTAGTAACAGAATGTTCATTTCTGTGTGAACTCTCTCTTCAAAACTAAACCAGTTCACCTGGCGTTATGCATGAAACAACAAGACAAATGCAATGCAGTGAGACTGGAAAAGGTCTTGTTATAGTGATTTTAGATACCAAGACAAAACGACTTGGTTGTTGTTGAGTAGCTTACAGTTTCTGACAGGTACACTGTCATGGCAAACACCTCAGCTGACATTTTCACCAATACCGAACGTTTTACTCGCTCGATAGCATCCCTTCCCCATCGAGATCTTTAAATGAAGCGAAAGGACTCCGGTATCCAGGAAGGAGAAGCAGAGATGGGGAGACATTGTTATCGGTAAATGCACTGGATGGGAAAACCACATTAATATTTACTGGATAAGCCCAGAGGGCCGAGACAGACTCAAAGACGGCATGGAGGAGACGGTTACTGTTGCGAGAAGCAATCTATTGTGATGTAAGGTGGTGCATATGTTTGTGTATGTTTTTGTTTACGTTTATATCAATATTTCATGTTGGCGTCCAAACTGAAGGGTCAGATTTTTTTTTAACAATTTAAAAGAAGGTAACACTTTACAATAAGGCTGTATTTGATAATGTTAATGCATTTACTAACATGAACAAACAATGAACAGTACATTTACTACAGTATTTGATCATGTTAGTTAACGTGAACTTAGTTAATGAAAATACAGTTGTTAGTTCATGTTAACACAGGGCATGAACTTGAATGTTAATAATGCATTAGTTAATGTTTAATTATGATTAATAAATGCTGTACAAGTAACATTCATACGCCATTCATGTTTGTAAATGCAATAACTAATGATCCTTATTGTAAAGTGACCGAAACACACCTGGTTGAGAAATGTACTGGGGATATTTCTATTAGGTTTGTTGTATAGTTGGAGCAACTTTTTTGGCATTTGGATTTGGTTGGTAACTTTCAGAGCGCATCCACCACTAATCTAAAGGAATAATTCATGTAGAAATAATAATAATAGTATCTGTCATCATTTACTCACCCTCATGTTGTTGCAAATATGCATGACTGCTGTATGGAAGATCAATTTGTGAAACTTTTCTAACCTCCAAAGCAGTGTTAAATTCGTTGATGAAAGATTTCTGTCCGAATTTTAGTGACAAACAAGTTTATATACCAACAAAAGCTAGATGAAAACTTAATAAAAATTAAGTGATGATGACGACAACTACAATAAAAATTTACTGACTCTTTGTTGACTAATAAATCGAGACGAGGATGTGATTGAGGAAAATATCCAATCAGGATTAATCTTGAGAGTGTTATGCATGACGCATGCTAGACACAGGCTGGTATAAGATTCTGACAGTATGATAACCTTGGATGAAAAGATCACGGTTTTGTGATTACTGCTCTTAAATATATTCTTTTTACATGTCTGGGTAAAAAAAAAAACTAAAAATTTTCCTCTTTGAAAACAATATATTTTATTTTTTAAAAGATTTATAATATTTTAAAACAGTAAACATGTCAGGCTGAATAATTTAAATAAATCAATGACTTCTGCTGTCTTCATTTGTTTCAAAAACACTGATATCTTTACAATTTAAAAATGGCATCTTTGTATATTGATACTGTTGTCCTAAAAAACTAAACAAAAAATATGACACGTACCTTAATAACGGTTTTACAGAAAATGTTGGCGGTTTTCAAACCTTAATTTTTTTAAACCGCGGTATACCTTGAAAACGGTTATCGTCCCATGCCTAACGCACGCACACACATTTAAAAAGTAACTCATTCACAGGAGACACGGGATGCGATTACACCATCATAAGGGTAGATTAGATTAAGTCGACTAAAATCTTTTGAGATTTAGTCGACTAAATCTAGACTAAATCTAAAATGATTCAGAAGACTAAAATTTGACTAAAACTAAAATGGAAT